ATCCCCCGTTGACCACCACAGAACTCCAACAGCGCTTCAAAAACGTACTCAATCGCTACTTTGAAGACGTCAAAACCCACATCATCCAGGGTAACAAAAGTATCACTGCACAAGGACGACGGAATGCTGAGGCCTATGTCAAATCCGGAGAAGTCTTTGAAGATCGTCAGGCAAACTATGACAAACAATTGAAGTCCCAAGAGAAGCTAGTAACTAATGCGCAAATCCTGTGCGACGCGCTGGAAAACCAGGAAATGCCAGACTTGAAAGAGAAAGACACACAAGATACGGGAGCATTTGCTGGGATAGGGCTTGTCAAGACTGGCGAATACCTTCGTGGTCAAGCCGACGGTGCAGGCATCTGGGAGGATGACGAGGAGCGCCGTTTCTATGAAAATCTGATAGATCTGCAAGATCGGGTACCAGGGATTCTGCTCGAAGACGGGAAGAAAAAGAAACAAGAAGGAGATGAGCAGGTGGGCAAGCGAGTGGAAACCAATGACGAAGTCAAGGATTTGCATGAGAAGGTGCCCTCGACTACAGCGTCGAACGATCAGTCGACTGCAATCGCCAATAAAACCGTTGGTGCACAGGTGGATGCCCTTCTAGCTCGCCTTCCGGAACTTCAAAACAAGGAGCAGATCGACCAAGCTGCAATGGACTTCTGCTTCCTCAATTCTAAAGCATCTCGAAATCGCTTGATCAAGACCGTCCAAGAAGTGCCCAAGGGCCGATCTGACCTGTTACCATCCTACTCACGCCTGGTGGCAACATTGGGAAAGTATATGCCCGATGTCTCTCACGGCCTGGTATCGCATCTCGATGATGAGTTCAGAAGCCTGCAACGGCGTAAGCAAAAGGACTTCCTGGGCCAGGTCCGAACCAGCAACATTCGATACCTTGCAGAGCTCACGAAATTCGGCGTTGTGCCAGAGCATGTCATTTTCCACTGTCTCAAAGTCAGCTTAGACGACTTCTCAAGGATGAACATCGAGATCATTGGCAATCTTCTGGAGAACTGCGGTCGCTATCTGCTTCGGAACCCAGACACGGCTCCCAGAATGAACTCGTTCCTGGAGACGCTGCAACGAAAGAAGGCTGCTCAGCACCTTGGGCAGCAGGAGCGAATGCTGATCGAAAATGCAATGTACTATGTTAATCCACCCGAGAGGGCTGCCATTGAACAAAAAGAACGGACGCCCGTCCACCAATATGTCTCGCGACTTGTCTACCTTGACATGAACAAACGCACCTACACCAAGGTACTCAAGTCTTTGCGCAAACTCCATTGGGAGGAACAAGAGGTAAGCTCCCAACTGTTGATCTGCTGCGCATGAGCTGATCGCGTGCAGGTTGTCAATATGCTAGAGAAGATCTTTTCCAAACCTGGTAAAGTCAAATACAGCAACATTCATCTGCTTGCTGTCCTCATCGGATCTCTATATCGCTACCATCAAGACTTTGTGATCATGGTCATTGATAACCTCATGGAGAACATCACGTTAGGCTTGGAACAGAATGACTTCAAATTCAATCAGCGTCGACTAGCGGAGGTTAAGTATCTGGGAGAACTATACAATTACAAGATGGTTGACTCGCCCCTGATCTTTGACACGCTTTACCGGATGGTTACCTTCGGACACCGTAAGTACAGGAAGCTATGGAATTCACGAATCCATACTAATACTAGATAGCCGGTGGAACACCGACTCGAGAGAGACTAAACCCAATCGACATGCCCGATGACTTTTTCAGAATACGTCTTGTGTGCACTCTTCTCGACACTTGCGGCTTATGCTTTGATCGTGGCGCCGCCAAGAAGAAGCTTGATTTCTTCCTGACATTCTTCCAGGTAAATTAATTGAACAGCCCATATTGATGAGCACAACCGTCTGATACGTGCTAGTACTATATCCACACAAAGGAGAATCTTCCCATGGACATTGACTTCATTATCCAGGACACGTTTTCGCTAACGCGACCGCAATGGAAGCTTGCTGCTGACTTTGAAGAAGCTGGTCGTGCGTTCGCCGACCTGGTGAAGCAGAACTACAAAGCACAGGAACAAGAGAAGCCAATTGAAGCAGAAGAACCTGACGATGGAGTCTCTTCCGAGGATGAAGCTGATGAAGATGAGCTACCCGTGCCAGATGTGGACGCTCAATCATCAAGTGACGAAGCTGAATTAGAGGTTTGATTTCTAGTCTGTTACTGCTTTCTATTCGTGTACTGATCATTTATGTAGCCCATTACTAATGGCGAATCGAAACATGACTCCGATTTCGAGGAGGACATTGTCGTCACGCGTCAAGAGGAAGAGCGAGATCCTGAAGCTGAAGCTGAATTTGACAGGGAGCTTGCCAAGATGATGTCGGAGAGCCTAGATTCTCGCAAATTCGATCGAAAGCCCATGTTCGATGTTCCACTACCTATGCGTCGTGCACAGCGAGAGACGACGACCGCCGCCGATGACAGTGGCAACGAGGGCGGTACCGCGACCCCACCCAACGCCAATACCATGGCATTTTCCCTTATGACCAAGAAAGGGAACAGACAGCAGGTATGTATCATTTGGTGCTGGGCCAACGAGATACTGCTGACAAGGAGGTACAGACTCGAACCATCGAGATGCCCTCCGACTCCCATTTCGCCGTTGCGATGAAGTCCCAAAAGGAAGCTGAGCGCGCAGAACAACAGCGTATCAAGAACCTGGTCTTGAACTATGATCTGCAAGACTCAAGCACAGATGCTGGTACAGACAATGCCATTTCCGATTACTTCTCCCACCCAAACCCCAACCTCCGTGACCAGCGACCTGCTGGTTTTTCTTTGGTCCCCCTGGATGAGAACACGCTTGCTCACAGTTATCTGTCTGAAGGTCTAGGTGGCGAGAAGCACGGCCCTTCTCACCACCAGCACAACGCATCCCTGCATCAGTCATCGGCGTCGAACAACTCGAATGCCAGACCTGCGGATAAGTCTGGCACGAACCGAAGCGGTCATCGTGCAAGGAAGCTGCAACTCAGTGATGTTGATTGGTATGACCAGAAGCCTGACTCTTCCCGGAGTCGGGGGAGCGGATCTTTTCCCCATGGTCCCCATCGGGGCCCGCGTAGAACTGCTGGCTGATTACGCTTTATGTGGCTTTACAGGACCTGAGAAATGTGCATTGCCTATCTGGCAGGCCCATCACTACACCTCTTGTTATGCATCAACTAGAAACATGTGTCTCAATGATACCCGATCGTCAGCGTCGACTAGCTCGTATGGTTACGACGTGAAGCAGGCGGACAATTTCGGACCGGTATGCTCCCTCAGCTTGGTCGACGCAATCCGGCACGCCAGCATGACGAGGAGCGTACGTAGGACGGTGGTGGTGGTTGGAGATGTGTGCTGGAGACTTGAGGAGCACACCCTAGCGGAAGAGATACTTAGTACAGATTGTACCAGCCAGAGATCTGGCGTGCCATTCATTTACTTTTTCATTTGTCAGTGCATGCACTTGAGAAGGAGAGGGTGGAAGTAATGTGACCTGATAGTGTATCAGGGGCCCATTCACAAAGAATGATAGATTTATCTACTCCGCGTCCTGAACCCGTTCCAGTCCATGTCATCAAAGTTCGCAGTTCATTCAGATGATTCATATCACTTCTCTTGAGTAGTCCTCTTTGCTGAACGCTGTCTGCTTAGGGTAGGTGGTCCTTGCAAGCTAATGTGCCACAACTAAGGCTGTGACAAAGGGTTCCCTTCGAAGACCGTCTGGTTGTACCTCGATGTCAGCCAAGCATTGCCCAGGCACTAAGATGATCAGCCTTGGCACTCTCAATTTCTGCCATGTGGCTACGGAAAAGAGCGTACCGATCATTCTGGACTTCACGAGGGGCTGCTGAGTACGTCGAGCGCATCGTCTCACCGTTTTCATATCCCACGTCTGTCAGCAAGGACCGAAAGAATAACAACTATTAGAATTGAAGAGAGGTTGAAGGACTAATTAGCTATAGAGTGATATGTAGGTTACTTATATATCATGTGAAGCCACGCTATAGAAAATAAAAAGCACCGCAACACCATTGTACCAGCGCCATTAGGAATCGAACCTAATACGAACTAAATACCCCCAACAACACGACCACAACCAACAGGTGTCCGCCCTCGGACTATGACTAACGGGGAACATTTCGCTTCACAAATCAATGCGTCGCATGGGATTCGAACCTAAGCCCTCGCTAACCTATGGCTAATGGCGCTGCCAGAAAATAAAAAGCACCGCAACACCATAATTGTACCAGCGCCATTAGGAATCGAACCTAATACGAACTAAATACCCCCCAACAACAGCTATGCCATATTGTTATTGCCAGCGTGAGGGGTAGCTATAACACACTATGCTGCAGCAGCATGATTTCCAACAACAACTCTGTTACTTGCACAATCCATCTGTGCCTACGCCGCTCCACCTCTCCCTCTTCCCATCAATCAAAGTGAAATCTTACATGTGAGAAACGTGGATCAAACAATTCTCTTCCGCCATTTTGGATCCCTCAAACATGAATCTCACACTTTCCCTTTTCTTGGAAAATATTCCTCGAACCGCAAGAATCTTACCTGTCGCATTTTCACAATGTAAAAATTCCATTGAAATGTACTTTTGCGCCGGGAGAGTTTTCAGTCGTTCAGCATGTGCATGTTCCCACGGCGTAAGCCTTAAAGTACCACTTGCGGTTACTGCTGGCTTGAAAGGCTAAATTGTCAAAGTAGCTGCGATCCACCACTCCAGCGGCGATTTCCGGCTAGTATTGATAAGGCTATTGTATGTGGTCCGTATGCGGGGTATTATTGGCCACAGCTTGGCCCCCAGGCGGGACATACGTAATACTGCATACCGAGAAAGGGGGCATGGTCAAAACGCTTTTCCGTACTAAGATGAAGCACTTTGGGGTTTCCACATTGTCTTGGACTTAGTACAGCTTACTATCGCGTCTGGCCGACGTCGAGACGCCATGGCAATCCGATCTGCCTGGTGGATGCGGGAGCCAGCAACTGGTCGGACGGGCGGTGAAAGCAGGTATCTTAATGCAACGACACATCATCTGCACCCACATCAGAGCTGGCCGAACCAAGGCTCAAACGGACTAGCATTCAAGGAGCTTGAGCGATTTCTCCGCGAAAACCCCGGAACCCATTGCTCTGTTTGTAGACTGTCTTACAGCTACGACGCTAGCAAAAAGAGGGCAAAGTGGGGCCGGGACAGGCAGGCCAGATCTTCGGTAGAGTTAGAGGCACTCTTACTGGAGCAGGTACGCCATCTGTGTTTGATGATAAAATAAAGAAAGTGTTGTGCTCATATGAAAAAGCGGCCCGAGGAAACATACTGTGCGTTATAGTACGTACTCCTTGCATTCAGAAAGTAATCTTACAAATCCATTGATGGTATTGTACGCACAGTATCGTATCCAGTCTTTCAGCAGAAGCCCTCCAGATGCTTGGCTTTCATCTCAATATCACACCTCGCTTTTTCAACTTCGCCTATACAATTCTGAGTACTGGTGTGCCAGTAAATGATTGTGCGTCACTCTGTAGCTTACCAAGCTGCCCAAATTGCAACAATTAGCTCACAACCTTCGAATAGTTGTCTTTTTCGGTCTCCAGGTCATGGAAAGATATGGCCATAACAATCTTCCTACAGAAGCCAAGCGCAGCAGCAATTCTCCGAAGATGACTTTCCGTACCAAGAGCGGCCAGTCAAGCCATACCTGGCATGTGACGCGGATCAATGTGGTGTTCATAAGAATTCCCCTGGAAAGGTATGCCGAAGGCTGTGCTTTTACTGTCGCCGGCTACGTTGTGAGCTACTGACTGATCTTTAAAAGGCCGCGTTATAATGGAGTGATAGTATTTGACCCTGCCGACCAGGCTTTCGTAGAAGCGCTTCTTGCACTTGCCGCAAATGTCGAGGAGGAGCTCCCGGGGCTTGAAGAGCATAAACTTGGGCTGTGCGATATTCTAACCAAGGTATTCTATATCATCAGGTCAGTCATGAGCACGAGCATGAGCACGAGCAATAGTACCTAGTCCCTCAAAAATTCTGAGTTAGGGCGCTGAGACAAATACAGTTTTACCTGGGGCTGTTTCCTCGAAGAATTGGAAGAACATCTCGACGTCCTGGTAAGGAAACCTTCCATTGATTGAGACTCTTCGAATTTTGGCAGACTTCCTAATCGCAGGTAACGGTAAGCAGAACCAAAAGTGCGTAGAAGAGGAGCTCTCGCCCGATGACCAGCTCATCTACACCCGTGAGTTACATAGACTGGTGCCGCTGTTTGGCGAATCGCGTCGACGCATCCTCGCGGTGAAAGACACAATTCAGCAAATGCTGGGCCATCCCTTCTTCACCAGCGTCAACGCCCACCAGTCAATGACCGCGTACCTTCATAAGACAACGGCTGCGCTAGATGATTATAAGACACGGTCGCTTGAGCTCTCGGAACAGACTAATAACTTGATCAGCCTGGTATGTATTGCCACCTGGTCGAACCAGTATTCAGGCAGACGAGATATGATAGACTGATCCACTCCAGATTTTCAACATCGCAACGCTTCAGGATACTCGAGTCGCTGTGGAAGAGAGCCACGCAGCGAACGTATTGGCGGCGAGCATCCGCCGCGTCACGGTCCTAACCTTCATTTACCTACCATTAATGCTTTCAGCAGTATGTGGTTGGCTGCCGTCCCTCGTCTTTCCACCCAAGAGCTAATAAAGAGTAGTCAGTATTTGGCATGAACGTGTTCGAGATCACTGAAGACAAGTCCAACCACTCTATCTGGATTTTTGTTGTAGTGTCTGCCGTTCTTATGCTTTTTACTGTTTTAACTTGGACCACTTGGTCAAGGGTGACTGACGATAAGCAACGCCGAAGAGATCTGAGAATTATTCTGAATGCCGGGAACGGCGAAGCTTAGAACAGCTCTATGAGGCGATATTGTACTACAATCGAGTGGATGTGAGGCTCTCCACTCATCTTTACAGTAACAGTTTCATTGAAAGGAACCGTCATTGTGCTAGCTTGGTGAGATTATACCGGTGGAATACAACGGGTAAGTTTGTGTTTCCGTGACAGAACTCGCCCGTGGTCTCGTATGAATAATTAGCCAAAATGATTGGCGGCTCCGTTTACTTCAATCATTCGAGGCTTCAGTGTTCTAGCGCTGAGCTTACACTCGCAAAGTTGGAGGTTTTCATCCTAGGCGGCACGTGCGCTAGACGACTGCCAAATCAGGTCCTCTGCGGATAGTCGCTCACGAACAGTCCCCTTTGAGGCTGAATATTTAGCAGCGGAGTCACCCGTATATATCCGCAATAGTTTAAGGCAGTTCTGCAGGAGCAGAAAACGGATCCGATCACTTCAACAGTTAAGGCTATGTAAGGATCTGCGCGCAATTACCCTCTCTAGACCAGGTAGGGTAGGGGCATGTATGAATCCCGAAACCACGACTCGTCAAAATGGCGACAAGAAACGAAAGCTAAAGTATATCCCAAGCAACGGTGCTGAGCATTAGCGCCACCGCTTTTGAGCAAGCATTACTCTGCACGAACCGTAAAGGTTTCATGAGGCAGTTGGGACTAATGCACGCACGTTATTCGTGCATCTGAACGCAAGGCTGACCATTCAGCTGAGACTGAACGACAGCCATAATAGCGTTCCAGGTTCTCCATTCGCTAGGACTCAAAATTTCTATCCGAACTCGAACGAGGCTACAGTAAGCATGCAACCCCCAATTCCACGTGCTGAGGCAGCGACGTTCATACGCCGACCTCTGGTCCACCTGTCAGCTGATGCAAACCGTTGCGCCATTTTTTGGTCTATACCTACGGAGATTTCCTGGCCATTGCATTGCGTATGCACCCCAGTAACCAATACGTATAGGTCAATCTCCTCCGCAACCCACCTTTCTCTGCCTCCACAGCGATATGGTGGTGCCCTTCAGATCAGGCTGTTTCCACGCCAAGTTCGCCTTCTAAGATTCATTCATTATACACCCTCTTTATATGTAAGAAAACTGTCATTTGCGAACGTTGTACGAAGAAGTTGCGAAGACTGCGTGCCCAAAGCTTAGCGTTATGGCTCTTTTCTGGATACGTCTAAGCCTCTACATCTTCCCCTTCCTCCGAACCGTAATTGCCGCCAGCGGGAACTGCGACGTAGCACCATTGTCGCTGCCGTGGAGCAATGTTACTGTATCTGCCAACGGCGTTGCTGTTGCGAGGGGCTTAGAACTTGGCATCGGGTCTCCCAATCAGATCTTTTCTCTCCGACCCTCAACCACTCTCAATAACACTCGTCTCTCGAACGTACTCGACTGCGGCTCGGAAGCGAATACTTCATGCGTTGGTGGAAAAGGCGGCGTGTACAATAGCTCGAAGTCATCGACCTGTTCAGTCTCGATCAAAGATCGATGGAACGGCAGCGCAGCGGATACTGAGACTGCCACTGGCTCTTACGTCTATTTAAATGACTTCATTGATTTTCAATCCAATGACAGTATATGGGGCTTTCCTTTAGTTGAAGATTCTGACTTGGTATCCGGTAGGTCGTTGAAATCAGCTCAGCCCAGTTATGCAAGAACAATGGGACTTTGTGTACTAGGATACATTACTGGATATTCTAAAACAGGCGTGATCCATTCTGAGTTAAGGGTTGGCTGACTTTTGTCGATATGCTTTATAGGGACTCAATCTGGTCTCCCGCTCGGTCAGAACTCCTCTTTCCTGGCAGCTGTGACCGAAGCCAACGTGGCGCCATCCAAAGCCTGGGGATTATGGGCAGGAGACCGGTCGCTATCACCCATCGACGGTGCTCTGACAATTGGTGGATACGATCCTGGAAGAGTTGCTGGAAATTTCGCCACGTTCCCTCTAGGAACTTGGACACTTCAGCAACCCTGTCCACTCCAGGTCACTGTCATTAGTATCATGTATAACCAACCAAATGAAAGTTTTGAATTGCTTTCGTCCGAGAACATGGTTGCCTGCATCGAACCTTTTCAGGACCGCTTCACCTTCACACCGGATGTGGTTAACAAATTCGCAAATGTCACCAGCTATGATTCCTCCTACCGTGGCCTAACCTATCCCGTAGCCCAGGCGCCGGACGGTAATATGACAATAACACTTGAGAACAACTACACAACTGTCATTTCAAATTCCAAGTTCGTCGCTTTAGAGAGAGGGTCGGATCAATTCGGACATTTTCAGATCACAAACTCATCAGTCGTGGAGACAGAAATCGTGTACAACGCCCAGAGTGACCCTTCAACCGTCCAGCCAATCCTAGGTGGCATATTTCTAACATTCAACTATTTAGTCGTCGATTATGAGAGCGGCCACTTTCAATTAGCACCCGCCGTGCAAGGAAACCAGCATACTGGCTCACAAGCAGTTAGGGCGATTTGCACACCAACACCAACAAGCAACCCTAGTTCTAGCAGCTCCCCTCCTCTAAGTTCCCAGAACAAACCTAGGAAGACTGGCATTATCGTCGGTGGGACGGTCGGGGGGGTAGCAGGGCTGGCCATCATGGGAGTGCTTGTGCTTCTATTCCGTCGTCATCGTCAGCAACGGAGGGTCCAGGAATTAAGGATAGAACCAAGCGATAGAGGGGCTCAGCTGTCGCCTAATGTCCTATCAGTTACCTCTTCCGAGGAAGCGGCGCACTCATCGCCATCAGAGCTGCCTCTGGTATGATACGCTTCTCTAAGAGTCTTTTACGTGGGCTAACAGATCCGCGACGACAGTCTCTCGCTCCTTCCGTTCATGAGATGCCAGGGAATCCACGCTCGGGCCTACATCCTCGTGCCGTTGATCGTCACAGTGGGACTGTGGGTTACTCGGTCTCATAGTGGGTCTCAGAGTGGCAAAGAAGACCATGGAAGGTGGCAAACAGAGACATTTGTTAGCAGCGAATACTACAAACTCTTAGCGTACATCAGTGAGTGACTCGTCATTCACTTTCGATCGATGTCCGCTGGTACCTAGGCCAGCTGGACAGGAAAATCCTCATGTTCTTCGCGAGAAGAGGTAATGTCCTCCAGTCAGACCGGTAGATAGCAACCCTTACGCAGCCTGGCGGCGGAGGCCCCTGCACTTTCGTGGGGTTCTACCAGGGTGACGGCTCTCGCGCTCCTTACCCCGGGCGAGCCTTGACCTCTATAAGGGTATGTAGTCCAACGTCGAGTACTTGCCACAACCGTCTGCATATGTAGCTTCCTGCCCACGGCTTCCCTGTATGTACGGGCAAATTAAGTAACTCATACCTCATACTACGGAATGCTTACCGAATCATACCGGTGTGGGTATGAAAATGTAAGATGGGGTATGAGTCTGTAAGAATCCCACAGTCTGGGGTATGAAAATGTAATTTGCCCATACCCCTCCCAACCAAATTTTGGAATATGATTTGGTAACTTACCATCCACAGAGGTATGATTCGGTAATCCATCGTGTTCAGGGCTATTTGAGGGTATATCGAAAGACATCGATCAACGCTCGTCGCCGTAGAACTAGCTTGTTTTAAAATACGAGTACGTTGCGTGACGGGGCGGGGTGACCCGGGGTTTCGGTGCGGCTGGGGTAGATAACCCGGAGCCCGCCCCCTAAAGCCCGCCCCAAGCCGGTAGCCTAGTAGCCCCTAAGTAACCTCCTTTACTTCACCGGAAGAAGCGCCCAATGGTGTCATGAGTATGATGCGATAGCTTAGAAAATGCTTCGAGGTGGAATCATCAAGATTTATGATTGATGATAATTTGATTGCTATGATTACTTTATGTTGGTAATACCTGGGTATGCAGTTACTGCTATAATGAGACTTATCACTAGATATGGTATTCTTAATGATGTCTAAGGAAGAAGGATATCTATGTACAGGGAAGGCCTTCATATACCAATGACTAGGCCGAATGAGTACTAGTGGTAGCGAGTGTTGAGTCGTTCCAACACTGGCAAAAAACAAAAAGTGAGGCTATTCACATGCTATCAAAACATTCCTTCTCCGTAGCCTCCATAACTGCAATTGCTCCCTTTGCTGCAGTGGGCGTAGATCCGGTCATGCTTGACGTATTTCTAGTAGCAATGGGAGAAAGATGATCCCTCATTGATCGATACCTTGTCTTTCCACCCACCCTTCCAGATCTAGATCTAGTTGATTCGTGTCCACTAGTCTTTGCAATGCATCACATCCTAGATCCGGTCATGCTTGGCGTATTTCTAGTAGCAATAGGAGAAAGATGATTCCTTATTGATCGATACCTTATCTTTTCATCTATTCTTCCAGATCTAGATCTAGTTAATTCGTATCTACTAGTCTTTATAATATATTATATCTCTTATTCTTTATTATCGTATCGACTAGGTTCTTATCTTCTTTAATCTAGAGAATCTCGATAATTTCTTATCGCTCGTAAGATTATCTTAGATATAGAATATTTATTATTAATCTCTTCTCTTAAATCGTCTTTAGCTTAATAAGATATTTATATAAAGATTTCGAGTCTATATATATAGAAAGAGGTATTTTTTTCTAAAGAGTATTAGAGAAAATTTAATTTATAATAGACTTTATAATAGTTATAATATCGAATTCTAGAAATAATATATAAAATTCGAAGACTAATACGCTTCTAATAACTCGATAGTATTTAATCGATTATTAATAAATAATATTAATCTTATTCTAAGCGTTAGCTAGAGTTATTATATAGTCGATTTAAAAAGAAAGATCTTTATTATTAGTAAATAATAAATTTATAAAAGCTATAATTTTTAGAGACGTTATATCTAACTTAATAAATATAAAGCTTTTTTCTTTTATTTATTATAAAAAATAGTGATTTAAATATTAAATATTTTTATATATAAACTCTATAATCTAGATAATATATAATAGAGCGAATATCGCTTATAGCTATAAAATAGTAATAATATATACTTCTTATACTCGCTAGATAATATATTATTCTTTTATAAATAATTTTATAAATAATTAAATCTTCTTCGCTTATCTAAGTTAACTAATTTTTATATTATTTTTAAAAGTAATAACGAATTTATTAAATTCGAGAGGCTATTTTAAAATAAGTCTCTCGAATAATTTAGCTAATAATTTAGCGATATATAATTCTTATAATTCTATATTTATAAACTCGATAATATCGATGATAAGAGAGTTATCGATTTATAAGCTAATAATTACTATTATATTATTATTAAATAATAAATAAGTATTAAATATAGAGGGGGTTATTTCTAGCTTCTTTATATAGTATTTATAATATATCTAAAACTAGTAAATATCGAACTTAGTAATTTTATAGAGGGGGAGAATAATATAAAGTATTATTTTTAAAGATAATTCTATTTTAGCTAAGGTTAAAATAAAGATATCTCTAATTAACTTAAATTAAGATTATATATATATCTAAATAATATCGCGTAGATATAGAGATAGCTATAAGATAGCTAATATTAAGACGATAATAAGTTATTAATTAGTTCGTTAAATACTTATACTACTAATCGCGACTTCTCGAAGACTTTCTTAATATTCTTATTCTTAACTTAATTCATAAAACGACTATTAAATATCTATACTTCTACGAGAATATCTTCGATCTTTATAATCTTAAATATATTCTTTTTAAATATTTATTAAATTCTTTTTATTAAGATATCTAAAAGTTTAATAAAGATAATTATAATATAAACTTAGATATATAAATTATAATATTAGCTAAATTTCGAAAATAAATAAGAATATATTAATATCGAGAAGGGTTATAACGTAGTAAAGCGTTTTAAAAAGAGTCTTAATAATCTTAATTATCGTTATTTTCGTATTAAATATCATTTAATTATAAAGATTCTTATTTAAAAAAACTCGAGAGACTCGATTAGAATATCTATTTTTTTTAAATATAGCTTAATAATAGTAATTCGAAAGTCTATAAAATTATTAGATAATTTGATAATATATATCTCTTGAGAAGTGGCTAGCAATTTATATAGTTTAATTTTTTTTTAATACGTTCTTTATATTAGTATCGAAGAACTAATTAAAGTATTATATATTTTTATAATCTAAAAGTTATTTCGCTAATATAGAGCGTTATTAACTTATCTCTTAATATAAAGTTTTATAACTTTAATTATTATTATATTAATAACTTTTATTCTCTTAATAATAGATAAAGTTAATACGTTATTATTTATAATATAAGAAAAGATTTTAAAAACTAGTAATATAAAAATAATACTATTATATTCGACTATATCGTTAATAACCTTAATAATTATTTATAAATAAATCTTCTTTTTAATATTTTAATTCTTTAATTTCGTAGTAATTATTAGATAAACTTATCTTAATAAAGTATAATATTATTTTACTAAGTTAATAAAATTAGTAGCCTTAATTAATATATATTTTATTTAAATATTTAGAGTTTTAACGTTTTATTTAAACTCGATATTATTAAAGTTAATTTTAGCGTTATAAATAATAATATTAAGAGATTTAATATATACGTCTATTTAGTATAGTCTTAGTATATTTTATATATAAAATATAATTATATTTATTAACCAGCGGGTGATCTAAAAAGAAGTTCTCTTATTAACGATTTATAGAATTAGGCTATTATTAATATAGAGAATATTAATAATAATTATATAATTAAAATAAATATTATCCTCGTCTTTAAGCGAGAATTTAAAATAATTTAAAGATTAAAAGTATTTCTAATAGAGTATATAGAACTCGATAATTCGCTTAAGTATATAATAATATTTCGAGTTATTATACTCGACTTTCTCTAGAGTATAAATAAGTTTATTAATTAAGAGATAATCGAATTAATAATATAATTAATATAACTCGATATCGATTAGATAGTTAACTAATATAGAATTCTATATTAAGAATAAATATTTATAAAAGCGAATAATTAAGACTATAGAACTATTTCTTAAAATAACTTAGTTTTTAAAATTATTTAGATAGATCTCTAGCTTATTTATATTTTAAATATATAATAAAAATAGAATATTAGTTTATATTACGTGGAAATCGACTTAGCTAATAAATGAATTTACTATAAATTTTCTAATTAATACTATTATTTCAATTTTAAATTAGATAATAATATTATTAATAGTAATATTTAATTATATATTAAATTCTCTTATATAAGTTTTTACTTAATTATATTTAATAGTAGATATATATATAGCTTCGATATCTAATATAATATTATAAAACTACTTTAAGATATATTAACTAATATTAAGAAAGTTATTAAATTTAATAATATTATAATATATAAAATAATTAAAAAGCTTTAAGTAATATATTTAAGCTTAATTCGATATAACTATAAAAGTAGTTATAATAAAGTTCTTAATCTCTTTTAAGTTAATTTTTTAAATATCGAGAGTTAAGATTTTATAATCCTCGATCTTATTTTTCTAACTTTTAAACTCTTAAATATAGAAGTTATATCGCTTATTAATAAAGTCGATAAATCGTTTTATAAACTTATTTCGAGACTTCTATTATTTCTTATTAATATACTTTATTAATTAATAGTCTATCTTCTTATAGATAAAATATTACTTTTTCTAGAAGCTAGTTATCTATAAAGATAATCTATTATAATTATTTTAATTTAGAGATTAATTAATATAATATTTTCGATTAATAAAGTATATTATAAATCTAAATAGCTCGAATCTTTTAGTCTTTATAGTCTCTTTATAATTTTTAATTATAATATAAATATTATTAATTAACTCTATAATTATAATTATTTATTATAAAATTATAATATTATATATAGAAATATTACTATAAGAAATAACTATCTTATTTCGAAGTATTATATCTAATTAAAATTCGTAATTTAATTCTCTTTAGACTTAACGAAGTTATTAAATTATCTTATTAAAGATAATTTCTTTATTCTTTTCGAGACTAGCTCGAAGTAAGCTTTTTAGATTATTATTATTTTATTTATAAAGTATAAAATAACGATATTCTTCTCTCTTAAAATAACTCTAAAATCGATTAAAGAGTTATTAAATAGTAAAATTAATTCCTTAATAGTTAAAGTAATAGTATTTTAATACTATAGATTTTAATATAGTTAAAAATACTATTAGAAGAATTTAATAAGAAATCTCGACTTTTATATAAAGATTTATAAAAATTATAAATTTATAGCTAAAACTCTTAATAAGACTTTCGTTATACTTCTTCTTAATAATATATAATTTAATTAGAGTAATAAGTTTCTTATTATAACTATAATTTTATTTAATATCGAAATTTTAAATAATTTAATAAGATAAGAATAGTAGATATAGAGCTCGATAATTTAGGTCGTAGGCTAATATTAGAGAAAGAATTAGTGTCACGGTACGCCAAGGCCTCCTCCAGAGCCACCACCCAATTGGGCCTAGCGTGGCTTGGCACCGCACATATCTGCCCTGCAGGCACATAGAATAATGAACATCTTTTTACAACACCATGAATTCATGACCCAGTCATCCATTTCCTTGACAATTGGTAGCAACACCTAACCCAGGTCCTCCCAAGTCGTCTATACCGTCACTCAACCCGCAGTCACGATATACCGACAGTCAGCCCCCGCGCTCCGCTACGCAGCTAGGCCGTCACAGCCTACGCAAAATTAGCCAATCAAGTCAATCCTTTCAATAGGCCATTTGACATCACATCATGTCTTCCAACAGCCAGATAATTCGCGGTTTCACGGCAGAGCAAAACCACTCCTTCACGAATATCCTTCTACCAGCGCTTCAAGTAATGCTTCGCCAGGCATTCGACAAGCATTTCAACCCACTGCAGCCACAGCAAAAGCAGTCAGTCATAATGCCAAAGCCGGCACAGCAAGAGCAGGAACAGAAGCATAAGCCATTGCAACAGGCAAATGTGGAGAAATCTACGGAGAAATCAAGCGACAACAAGGTCACCATCATCAAGAACACGGCTCAGCTCTCCAAGATCCCACGTCACACACTCTCCATAATTCCACACCAAGCCACTATGCATAATTGCGGAGATCCTTCCCCTCGCCTCAGCAGTACTCCACTTTCTACCTCACTCCTCGCCTCTCTTCTCACTCTCGCCTCTCCGCTCGGCTACATTCGATATGCGAAGGATATGGAGGCTATAGGCCAAGGATAGGTGTATAGATATATGGACGGCGCACGCTTGATGTAGCTATCCAGGGATGCAGCCACGAGGACGTGTCTTTTTTTTCATTCTTTGCGGGCATGTTGTCACGGTACGCCAAGGCCTCCTCCAGAGCCACCACCCAATTGGGCCTAGCGTGGCTTGGCACCGCACATATCTGCCCTGCAGGCACATAGAATAATGAACATCTTTTTACACCACTATGAATTCATGACCCAGTCATCCATTTCCTTGACAATTAGAGTAGAATTCTTTAGTCGATAAGGCGATTGCGGGGGGAGAGGAATAGTATTCTCCGGTCGATAAGGCTACTAATAAGGCTATTACGGCGGAAGAGAAATAGTATTCTCCGATCGATAAGACTAATAATAAGGCTGCTACTAAGAAGAATAATACTTTAATAAAGAACGATTCTCGTCGTCTAATAGTTATAAGATTTCTTCTTAAATTATATTCGCTAATAATTCGGCTATTAAAACCTCTTATTCTTTTTTAATATAGACTTTATTAGTTTATAAATAGTTTTATAAATTATAGAGATTCTTTTTAAAAAGAATCTTAAAGTTCTTCTTAGCGAATAGTCGAAATTTCTTAATAAAGATATTCGAGAGGGACTTTCATTTATTTTTATTATAGTCTTATATTCTCTAACGAATAAATTATTTAATTCTCTTATCGATATCTATTAAATTAACTTCTTTAAATAATATATTCTCTAATTAATATAGAGTTATAGTATTAAGCGATTCGACTAAAGATAAAGCTTTAGATTTCTTCTTAAATTTTATTTTAAATATATATTATATATTAATATAATATAAAGCTTAATATTTTCTAAGTATTCTCTACTAGATAAAAGTCGTAGAAATTATAGAAATTATAGTTTTATTTAATTAATAATACTCGAGAGCTAAATCGATTATATAATTATAGAATCGTATAAAGCTATCGCGACGACATTAATAGCGAACTTCTTTTAAGAGTATAGCCTTACTAATCTATATACTATTATTAAAGTATACTAATTAATATTAATAATATCTAAGTATATAATTACTACTATAATAAGACTTATTATTAGATATAATATTCTTAATAATATCTAAGAAAGAAGGATATCTATATATAGGGAAGGCCTTCATATATCAATGACTAGGCCGAATGAGTACTAGTGGTAGCGAGTGTTGAGTCGTTCCAACACTTTACAAGCTTAGACTTTTTTTAATCATCTTTCTAATTGTCTATTAGTGGATTAACCCCCTGGAAAGGAAGACGATGACTGGTAAATTACTGAATCATACACCAATAGATGGCAACTTACCGAACCATAACCAAGACAGTATGAATCGGTAAGCATTTCACAATTTGGGGTATTGGTAAGTGATTTGCCTCTGTATGTACCGTTAATATTCGTAAATTGAAGATCGAGCATCGGTGTTATAGCTATCTCCTACTTCCTTCTCGGTGCGCATGTACTAGTACAAAGGCTGACTTACCTGAATTGAATAAAGTACCTCTCGCCGACATTGTAACCACTCTTTAAAGGTGAGCCGAGGTGTAAGACTGAGTCTGAAGGATCAACGGGGACGAGTTGTAAAGCTAAGCATCGTCTCGGCATTTGGCGTCGATTGGCTGATTTTGGACTGACACTCACAATGCAGTTGTGAAGAAGGGGAAGTATGCTCCGGAAGATCGTCGGGCAAATTACATTTTCATACCCCAAACTATGGGATTCTTACAAATTCATACCCCATCTTACATTTTCATACCCCAATGGGGTATGAATTTGTAAGATACCATTAACAGGGGTATGATTTTGTAAGATACCATTAATAGGGGTATGATTTTGTAAGTTGCCATCTATAGGGCGGGTTGGTGTTAGGAATTATTCCTCCGGGGGCCCTGCGGGGCCTCTTAGGAGTGTCTGCAGCGTGAAGTGCAAACACCCCTATTTAACCCTTTAGCGTTAACTCGGGTTACTAACAATTAGGGTAGGTAGCCTGGAATACCCTAAAATACCCTTCTAATGATTTACAGATATAGGGATGTTGGTGTTATCTTACATTTTCATACCCCAAGAAATGGTAACTTACAAATTCATACCCCAAAGACTGGCAACTTACAAATTCATACCCCATTTTTTTGGTGAGGGGTATGAAAATGTAAGATGGGGTATGAATTTGTAAGAACCCCATAGTTTGGGGTATGAATTTGTAATTTGCCCAAGATCGTCGAAGGTTGGTCAATGATAACGCAGACCCCGCATGGACTCGGGCCTTATCTTCCACCCAAACGGAACGCGAAGAGATCGCCTTTGTTACCCGGCTTGTGTGTAACATGAGGGTCTGACTGGATAGTCCTCTGTCCAAAAGGAGAGCTGCATGTTTGTGCGTCTGTCGATCACTTCGCACGGGCCTTGTTCGTGTAGATCGCCCTTCTGCGCTTCTATCCGGAACGTTTTTCGTAACAGCAATGTAGATCCGATCATCCGGCCACGCAGGGTAGTGACGCATCTTCGTGTCATCTCAGCCTTCATCAGTGGATACTTTGGGTATGGGAGTCTACGGAAAACTGCGTACCGGCACGGTACCTACGAGAATATGGTGAGGAGGGATGTATTAATTCATCCTATCTCTCTCCATCACCTCTCCAGCTGCGCATCATCTGGTACCGCATATGCCACTCACCCTTGCGAAAAAGCCGCTGTAAACAGCACGTAGCCAATACACAGGATCCGGAAAGGGACCACACGCACCGCTGGCTTCGTTGGAACACTGCGCTTGCGTAAAGCATTAGTACGCGCTTCTCTTGCCGAACGAAGCAGGTTGCAGACAGAAGGATCCCATTCTCTTCGTTGTCAATTGAGACTTGGCCTAGCACCCTTGATACCGCACATCATGAGAACCCTGATACTGTTAGTAGATGGCCATGACCTCTTAAAGCCGTCTGAGCTAGATACAAACCGTAAGCAGCATATTGCAGTGTGTGCAGATGGGAGCAGTCAGCAGCGTGCCCTTTTCGGAAGAGCAGACACGAGTGATATGAAGCGAGATCATGTCATGCAAGTTACTGGAGCGTATGTACTGTATGGCCTTGCTAGAAACGGTAGGAAGGGTAGAGAGTGTCTTCCGTGCCTGAATCGAATGTCCTGAGAAGATGCATTCTCTCATCGTACGGTACGTATGCGGAATGTGACACCGGTCGGGTGAGCTCTATTTATATGATTCATGTTACCCTGCGGAGAAGTTGAACTTACAAATTGTATGTAGGGATGATCAGGTTGAAGAAAACAGGCAGGATGGCAAGTGCGGTCCGGGGGTTTCTGTCTTATTAGAGACGCTGAATTGAGCCACTGCACAGCTTTCTTTGGGCCCTGGGTTCCATTTCACGAATGTTGTCGTGCCTGGTGTGCCCTAGCTTTTGCCATTGTTGGACTCTGGAATGATTTCTTTCGTCAGGGGGCCAAGATCTGATCACGCGTGAAAGTCGCAAGAATTGGGCAGAGCAGCTTTGTGCTTCGGCTTCTGTATATACGGATTTGGCACACTTTTGGCAGATACTCCTCCTGTCATCAACACACGATAAGGGATCAGAAGGCTAGTGCTGAGGCGAAGCATCAGAATTTCTTTGCCTTCTGGGCCCTTAGAATCAACGCTGGGACTCTCGGTCTCCCAATTTGGGAAGCTTTGGTTTTGACCTTGTCCAAGATCCTGGCTTGACGGCGGCCTCAGTCTTGGTCTTTGCGGAGGAATCTGCGAAATATTCTCCACTGATAACGCGTCCCAAATTGATCTAGACATGCGTTTTTTGAGAGGGAGTGAGAATATTAGCCAGTGCAATGGCCCCGTTGTCATGACTGCATTATAATTGTGCGCCTAAAAACGAGAGTCGTTAAGACAAAATGCTAAATATCATCTCACTCCGTTCAAAAGGACTGTATTAGAGCAATTCTCAACCGGCAAACCGCTTCCTCGCCACCCTCCGTCATCGTGCCAGTCCGTACTCATTTTGATGCCGCTCCGCCACTCCATTCCGAAGCCATGTCCGTTGTATTGGCGTCCAAGATCCGCGAGATGTTGTATACTGTTTCGAATGGGGGCTCGCCTAAGAGATGTGAGGGAAGTACGTGGACCAATTTGGAACATCGTAGACCCCGGCCGAGAGATGTGAGAGGTTGATGAAGCATTCGACCACCAGGTAGGCTCGTGCTAATGTGTATGCCACAAGTATCAAGATAAGAAGAACAAATAGAGAAAAGAAGATAACGCTTTCCATGTACTCAGGAAGCTCAGATATAGATCTTAACGCAAACTCGTTAAGTAGAACTGAAGAGGTGTATACAACGAAGAGGACAGGAGTCCCGCCCATCACTATGCAAGCGGAGATCCGCCACAACAGTTGCTCAGTAGATGAATCGAAGTGTGCGAACCATGCCAATGCGTGGAGTCCACCGTATATCAATGCTGCCGCACTGAAACCGAGGGCTATTGGAATTTCTGCCAATCGATCTGTGTCGGGCCAGTTTTTGCATCGCCGAACTGTCAAAGAAGAATAAAATTCAGTCTGATAAGCGCGCCAGGCCATTTTCCAACGGTTGACGTCTTGAGTTGTGAGCCTAATGTTCGGAAGAGGTAGATGTGATCCGGTGTGATTGCTGAAAGACTCTGTAAAATTTCTAGTAGACGTTTTATCGATTCGATCGACAATGCTTTCAAGGTTTGGCGCCTTGAAACCTGTCCCCTGTAGAGTTTGACCGGGCTTCAAGATAGTCAAGCCGGTTTCGTTGTCTCCTTCATGCCCTGTTTCTTGCTCTAAACGTGTTTCGTTATTGCGAATGTCCTGGGAAGAATCGACGAGACTAGCATCCGTTTCTTCGTACGGCAAAAGCAGTCGCTTGTCTTCCTGCGGTAGCAGTATTAGCATCTGTGGTCCAAAGCGAGCTGGTCATTTAAGAACTTTTTGGCAATTACTCTTACATCCATGCGAAGAATCAATGCAAAGAACAATATATGTCAAAGAAGAAGGTGTTAAGTCATCAATGGCACTCTCTATGTCTTCGGCGGAGAAAGCGGTGCAAGAATACTACCCAATGAAGCGAAATTGAAAGATTCTACCTCTGAGAGTGTCTGGAACCATTGGTCACTTTTTAGATAATCCCTAAGATCACGACGGAATGACTCGGCAGCAGATGATCGATTGCTCTCCATCCAGATCAAAGAGCGAATATCCCAAAGGATTTGACCCTGGGTCATCGTAGGATAGTCTACTTCGAAAGGCTTTTCCCACCAAAGAAAGTATATCAGCAGCGCACAGATCGCGTGACCAAACGTGTTGAGCTCCAGCAAACTAATCGGGATGCGTTGTACGACTGTACAGGGCTGTTAGAGTAACTTCCTCAAGATTCCACGGAGGTAGGGTATTCTCTCTACATACGACGCGTCACGCATTGTGCAATGAACCATGAGGCCTGGATGCAGACAAGAGCCTTCGCGAGTCCATTGGCTTTGCTTTTCGATTCTATCTCTTCCTTTGAAAGGTTCGGGATTACGTCGCGGCCGGTCTCACGCTCTGGTAACCGACATATTCCATAGTAACCAACAAACCAAGTCTCACTGTTTTGGGAAGGTAAGAATCTCTGGGATTCGGGAAGGTTTCCTGGAATCTCAAAGGCTATTCCACCCATTAACGCGTAAAATCCATGCACCATAGTCCATGGGTGACGGTCCTCAGATGAGGAAGGTCTCTGAGCTTCAAGAGTCGGTTGCTATTAGAAGATCAATGCACTTCGCTCAAGTGCACAGTTCTAATCGTTCCAACTCACCCGAACAGGTTCTTGGTCATGTGGCATGAACACTCCTTTGAACCCTGTGACAGCCTTTTTGGCGCCTTTGGCTATTGATTCATGCCAGGAGGGAGGGTCCGGTAACGCAAAGGCCTTGTTGACCTCACGCATTATGGAGAGCGCCCGACGCCTCTGGGACCTGCCATTTATTAGCTTACACTATTTCGACGAACTGTGGCAACTAGCAGGTCCCAAATCCGGCGATCAAAATGTTATTCAAAGCGCACATACCAGGCGGTGTAAGCGATCATCTCAGGGGCAAGAAGTGCCAAAACCAGCCATCCAACCTTCCTCAGTCTCGGTACCCAAACGCTTCCAGGTGGAGAAACATTAAGATGCACGGCGGTCCAGACGCATAGTAGCATGGTAATGATACATGTGCTTAGGATGTCAGAGGTGCCACGAGTGTTAGGATTGGGTTTCCAATGCACTAAGTTGGTGCCGTTGCCAAATAGGCGCGAGCTCATCTTGAAATTTGAAGCACTGGACGATAGATTCCCGTCGCGGCTATCAGTGAAGTTTATTAAATAGAACAATTCATCTAGGTAAAGTTGTCTCGAGGGGTATATGTATGGGCTGGGGGATGGGCAGAATTTTAGCATAGCCTTATTGTCAGCCTTGAGCTGGTCTAGGCACGGGCCTTGATTGGGTACCAAGGGGCCGGACCGTGGTGGCTTGGATGACGATACAGTCGATCTGTAAGCACCTTATTGAACAAGTCAGCCAATCCAGGACATGAGATCACACACACTCATTCGTCTCTATGCATATACCAATCGGATTACGGCAGCAGTTTAAGATAGTACTCATCTCGCTGATTCGCGCGCGTAAAGTTACTTGTGCATGAACATACATTGATCGGTCAAAGGAAAGTATCAGCTCATGTAACTTAAAGGGGACGTACGAAACCCTATAGGTGGTGGCTCACCCCTACTCACATTTGAAGGGTAATTTTGACGGCGGCGACAGGCGTCATACTCGATGTAGACACGTCAGCCATTAGGAAGGGCGACTCTCATCGAACCCGGGTTCTCTCACCACTCCAAGTCAGGATACTTCTATATCGCTTTAAACCACTTAGCTTTAATCACGCCGCTTCATCCATCAACGGTGATCGTAATGAAGACAAGGGTGAGCTCCATTGTGTGAGCTAGAAAAAAGTAGGGTAAGCAATGGTGAGATAGAGTGAGATATACAGAGAGAGGGATGAGCCGAAGTTCCCCAAGCGCTCGAGCTCATGAAAAGAACAGTCTTCAGATGGAGCCTCCCTCATTTTCGCACTCCCCAGTTCCTCCCATCTTGTTCTTCTTCTTTTTGTTCTTCGGGGAAAATAGCCCCCGATCGATCCTTCTTTGAGACTTCCGAACTTATTGCGCAGAAGATTCATGGCCACACTGAAATTCTTCAATTAGGAGAGTCTTCGACGACTTCTTCTGTAGGTTCCTCGGAGCTGTGGCGATCTGTAGCAGACTAATCATGGCGCTGAACATGGAGATGATGAACGCGGGATCCGGGTACCTGGTCACTTGCTGACTCCGCTCATGACTTGTTGGTGGGAATCCTACTGTAGGCTTAATAGTCTATGTATTATACCGAGTAGCTATTAAGGCTAGGGCAACTCGTCTGATCAACATCGGCTTGCTCGGGGCGATGGTGGAACCCTTTTTACACGTGTCGCGCAGAGACGTCCAGACCTCCAACGCTTAAAATGTCCTGTTCCAATGAATTGAAGAATCGGGTCTTCGTCTTGACTTCACTGCGGACTTGTACGAGTACCGATGCTACATGTGTTGCTAGAGAGCGTAGATTAAATGTTCGTGGATTGACTCTTTGCGTACTATCATGATCCAGCGGATGACTGGCGACGCGACTTTTGGCAAATGAGCCCGATCGTAGCGAAAAAAGGAGGGAGGATGTGAGTCAAATGGAAATAGATTTGTACTACGACAGCCAGACATCGGTATCGAGACGCAGACACAGGGGCAATTCTAATACATGAGACAGTTTCACTAGAGATACAGAAGTGGGTTGACAGGTAAGGACACTATATTCATAAGACGCAGGTATAATAGCCAGAAAAGAAAGGACATAAAAGCAAAATCAGAAAAATCGCCACACCATTTGCTGTTCATAAGCAAAATGTATACTCAATCCGCGAAGCGATTAGCGCGAGCAAGGTCCTCTGCACCGCTCGTCTATAAGGCGTGGGTAGCTGCATACCTTACCGACACGGGTGACGTTCGTGCAATTTTTTTGATGCTTGGTGCAGATTGGCATTCCATCCGTGCCTGTCCCCTTGCGGCAGTTGCCTTTCGATGCCTTGGGGCAGTGGTGGACGGTGGACCTTTTACCCATTCCCATCTTGTTATATGTAAAATTGTTTCGCGTAGGTCGTAAGTGTGGTGGTTCGTGAATGTGGTGGTTCGTAAGCGTGGTAGTTGGCAAGCGTGGTTTGAGAATTGCTGGGATGATAAGGTATTGTTTCGAGGGTTCAGAGCTGGGGAGGCCCTGAATACATGTAGAAGTAACATATCAGGGTGTCGCTCGTTTGTATTGGAAACAAAGAGAAACGCACAGAGAGATGTGACACGAAAAGCGGGCTCCCAAGGATAGTTTATAGAGCCAGACATTGTCGTACGTGTTGACGGAGCCAGACTGGCTTTATAACAGTATGAAAGCAACGTAAAGCGGTGTGACAAAACGGGCTCTGCTAATGACCTCGAACGTTGGATAAGAACGAGAAAATGGTAAAGTATGACGTATGAATGCTTTGGACAATGGTACGAAATTAAGATCAAACTGAGTGCTTTTTTAATAAACGTTATCCTCACTTCAAAGGAGTAGAAAAGGGAGACAATGCATTACTATTGGATTATCAATTGAACAGACAGGAAGGGTCTGTGCAATTCGGATGAAATTTTTCACCTAGCGAGAACACTTGTACTATCACTATTATAATTGCTTCCGGCTCTTTCAAGTTCGACTACAAATCATGTGTCAAGTTCGGGCGCAGTATGTTCCACTCTTTCACAATCCTCTCCGCCGCTGCACTGTGCCAATTCGCTGTTAATCCAAGTGTTGCGACTCTGTAGAGTCCCCTCATGAGGCGGGAGGATTCAGAGTATGCCAATCGTGGGTACTCGGGCCCAGCATGGTCATCGAAAATGGACTTGAGCTCCTGTTGCTCGAGTGTCGAGGGTGTATTGTTGGCCCCCTCCAGCTCATATGGCCAGGGAAGTAAGCTATTCTCGGTATGGGTGTCTTTGTCGTAGCCCCATAGCCAGCCAGGGGGTTGACAGTTCACAAATTTTGGTGCGACCACCGCTTCGTCCCAGTCAAGAATCCCTGTGACTCGAACGGAGTCCTCGGAATTGATTTCGACCATGATGTTGCGAGGGTGCAAATCAAGGTGGCACAAGCAGTTCAATTCTGGCTTGAACAAGCACAGGGCGTTCATCTCGTGCACGACTTTGAGCATGTCATCGTATAATTCGACGTCACAGTTGTTCTCCCCAAGACTCTCTGCGAGAGCAGATTTCCTCCAGCGCGAGAGGTAGTATTCAAAGAACTCCACGGTAGTCTCGCTCGAACGAGCAGTCCCTGCACCACTGGTCGCGTCCGGCTCCAGTTCCTCAACGAGATCTCCACGTGCATCTGTCAGTATGAATGGGACGATATTTGGCAGCTCGGCAGAAGTGTATGAGCCGTTGGTAGCTGCTTCAATGGTGCCGGCGACCGGACTCTCCACTGACAAGAGAGCTCTTATCAAGCAGCCCACTTCTTTTGCAACTACACATCGCTGTGAGCGGCTAAGAACATCCCATACCGAATCCAAATCTCGTCCAGGAATCCGATGCTGGATGGCATATGGTTTCCCTACCGCGTTGTTGCAGGTAAAGTCGGTAGACTCGATCGAGGCTACCGGGATTGCTGTTCGCTGTCGTACATAATCCAAAGTGGCCACTTGCTGATCAGGCCGTGACTCGCCTTCTCGGGGTACTCGAAGGATGAGATTGCGGTGGCCTTCATCGTAAGACGACGGTAGTGTTATACTTGTGATGTGATTGAAACCTCCACCTTTGAGGTGCTCGATCAGTGGTACTTGTGGCGCTGGTACAAAAGAGCGAAAGAACTTATTCGTGCGTAGGCGTAAAGCAGCTTGACTAGCTAAGAAGCGGTGCTTGATAGACGTTGGGGAAGGCCATAAATCCTGGCACAGGTTTTCGATGCGCTGATTGAAAGCGTCCTCGGCTTCCCGCTCTGCCCGCTCGTAGGCCGCCGTAGAAGACGTTCGGACTGAGCCGTTCGAGTTCGAGGATCGGGTTGGCGAAGCATTGACGGATCGGGTTGGCGAATCAGACACTCCTCCACTTGTCCCGTGCGAGCTGTCTATCGCCGGCTGCAGTGAATCGATCAGAGGTATCTCGGTGTTTTCTGTTTGGTCGAAAGCCATATTGTCTGACATCTATACGAGGTTGTACTAGACGTAAGTCTTTATCGTTCTTTTTAGGATAAGTTTAGTTGCGCAATATTTGTTGTGAGGTGAGTTCTAGGAGGAATCAAAGAGGAGTCGAGAAAAGATGATAGAATTATGCGTTCATTGGGTTTCGTTGAGGCTTTGTTTGCCAGCAAACAAAGTCAGGCTTTGTCTTCGACTTGACATCCAGATAAGTTCTTTGTGGTTCAACATCTTCGTGGCTCAACAAAGACCACCGAAAGGAGCCTTTCGCTAATACTGAAAGCTGTTAGTACCTATTTATGAAAGATTGTCGACTTATCAGATCTTTTGGTTGGATACACTATCAGCGCAGTGACAAAACTATGTGCCTCTCAGTTGCCTTAAGTTACACTGCTCAGGAATAGTCCAGATCCGGCCACCTACGCGAGCTTTCTTGTGCTCGGACAAAGCTGGGAAGAGCATGTTAACGACCGCGTTCGGAAGCCTTCGGCCCTGAGACCTCCTCTGTAGCACTTCATGACAGGATTAGATGTCAGTGCCACATCAGCATGGTGCACCTTCTTCGTAGATCCCAAGCCAGCGTTTGGACCTCGTGACCCATGGAGGGTAGCACGCGGGTGACAGAAAAACCTGCACACCTTGAAATTTGATGATGATTTCACAACGAAGAACCCTAGCAGAAAAGTTATGCGTTGTAATTTAAGGATTTCGATAATACTAATATATTATTCCGCAAAGCCTAATTCATAAGAAGGATATTCGTTGAGTTATTCCAGCTGACAAGGTGAAGGGATTTCTTGGTGTGTGCAGGTTTTTGCGTCACCCGCGTGTGGGTAGTTGGAGGGAGATGAATTTCTGGGTATTTTGGATCGGATGTAATTTTCCGCACCGCACTAGGCTAGCTTCGTAATATATCCTGAGTAAAAAACCGTACAGTCACAATAATTAAGCGGGCTATAAAATGAGGAACTATGTAGGAGGGAGTATGAAAAATAATAGATCAGAGCATTAGATCCAACGAAAGTTGCTTGGAAATTCATAGCCTGACATTACCATATTTCTATGGCACTTCCTTTGAGGGGCAAATTACATTTTCATACCCCAAACTATGGGATTCTTACAAATTCATACCCCATCTTACATTTTCATACCCCAATGGGGTATGAATTTGTAAGATACCATTAACAGTGGTATGATTTTGTAAGATACCATAAATAGGGGTATGAATTTGTAAGTTGCCATCTATAGGGGCGGTTGGTGTTAGGAATTATTCCTTCGGGGGCCCTGCGGGGGCCCCATAAAGGGTCAAATAGGGGTGTCTGCAGCGTGAAGTGCAAACACCCCTATTTAACCCTTTAGCGGTAACTCGGGTTACTAACAATTGGGGTAGGTAGCCTGGAACACCCTAAAATACCGTTCTAATGATTTACAGGTATAGGGATGTTGGTGGTATCTTACATTTTCATACCCCAAGAAATGGTAACTTACAAATTCATACCCCAAAGACTGGCAACTTACAAATTCATACCCCATTTTTTTGGTGAGGGGTATGAAAATGTAAGATGGGGTATGAATTTGTAAGAATCCCATAGTTTGGGGTATGAATTTGTAATTTGCCCTCCTTTGAGATTTGGTGAATGAAATCAAGCAAGACAGTTACCACGCAGCCGCCGGTAATTACCGTACCGAATCGACACTAAGCTTACCTCGTTAGATAACATTAGCCACAAATACATTGGCTTCCGTTTGAATGTCGCTTTGTAGTCTGCCATCATCTTCATCTCATCCTGAAACACGATGCCAGCAGGTTTTTCGACCTCAAGACAAAAAAGGATAAGCCGTGGAGCATTGGTCCTCAATCTTTAGTTGTAGTCTCAAGGTCGTCTTTGCTAATGAGCAAGAAGACATTTCCCTCCCTATGCGAGACCACCAAGCGACCTCAACCACCTCTTACGATTATATCCTATGATCCTCGAGACCCTCTCAACGTCTGCTCAGCCATGGCTGACCTTGACATCGAAGTGTCCCTCTTTACGAATCGATTACCACGAGAGATACGCGACGAGATCTACCGGTACCTGTTCTTGGCCAAAAATGTCAAATGCTATGCCGAACATGTTAACCGTGTAAGTCATGCGATACCTGGTATTGAAGTTTGCTGACGTCGGCGGTGCTCATAGGATCCATGTTGTGCAAAGCTCTGGCCGTGCTCCTACTTTCGCTTTCAGTCCGCAGTTCTTCGTACCAATCGACAAATCCACGATGAAGCCATCAAAATCTTGTATCACGAGAACCTCTTCGTCGTGGTATCAAGCATTACTTTCAATCTTGATGATAATATAGCCGTTGGAGGCATAGCATTACTGTACGCAGGTGGAACAGGCAGCAAGGCACACTCCTTCGAATACTGCGCCATGTCGGTCACTCTGGAGGAAGATCCCAGATATCTCAACGTAGACTACGGAAGAATGTATTATGTGATTGCCTGCGATGATCTAGGATCATTGTGTCAGATAATGTTACACCACGACGCTACTTGCGAACCAGCTGAAGCGTCTCTCCCGGATGTCCATTTCGAGGTCGCCATGCGTCCACAACCCAACGAGAATATGATCATTGAACCAGTGTCCACTTCGGCTCAACGTCGTTTGTTGGAACCATTCACCGCTTTCCACAGCGTGCGCAAGTTCACCATAAGCGGTCACGTAAACACTGATTACAAGAACAGTGTTGTCGCGAGGCTCTCGAAACCAGCCCCGAGTGTCGAAGATACTGTCGATCGTGTGATGACCATGTCACGAGAAGCCGTCAAACTCAGTGACCTGGGGTACCATGCGCAAGCAATCCTCAAGTACATGTCAGCCATAGTACAGACATTCACCAAAAACCGGTATCTTACTCCCAAGACTGTTCTTGAGACGGGGCTGCTGGGTGGCCGGACTGAGATGTTCGCATTCAATTACCTCCATTTCATGCTAAGATGCAAGATCGCCATGTGCCATGCAAAGCTCAACGACTGGAAAGAGGCCCATTTCTGGATATGTGATGCCATGGGTATCGAATTCTTTCCTATCGAACTCGCAGAGCTGGTCTACTTGGTAGCGTGGGTGCTGAACGCCGAATCGAGCGAATCGGTGCAGAATTTCGAGAGACTGGTTGAGAGTCTGGATGAAAAACCTACGCAGTCGTACTGGCACCAGGATCTTAGTGAGCTGGAGGAGAAGATGAGGAGCAAGGAGGGGATGGATAGCTTGAGGAACCTGCAAGTAATGATGGAAGGACTGGCCGACCGAGACCGGGTTGGAGGTTGTGAATGAGAGGGAGTTGGAGAACCCAGCAGAAGACTAGTTTACAGATATTATGCTACCAACTAGTTGAATGTCAGTTTCATATCATGCCGAATCGCATTCTCAAAGCTCGAGGTGAACTTGATTTGGACCTATCTAACTCGTCACTGAGAGTCAAAACTCTCTATGCATCTCGTATGGGACTTAGTGATTGCTTGAAGAAAAACATCTCCACTGTAAAAGGAGTCGCACCGAAATCGTACCTAGCGCTGACACTAGCATATAGAAGTAGTCACGGTAAGACTCAACCCTACCTCCCTCTCATGACTTATAAGATGTCTGCAAGTGGTTCGCGTGGACCGCATTCTTCCAAGCTTTAGATGGGTGGGTGATGAGATGGCCTGTGGGTAGAGGCGCGCTATATACGCACAATGCTCTTACGTTCAGATAGCGGGAACAGCTATCGATGTTGTCCTGACTGTCCCGTTGACAGCGGAGCTTTTGGCAGTGGCAGCCACCACACGTGCGGCGGCTGGCATGCATGCTAGGATATCTGACACAGTCCATAGGAAGTCTGTAGTTCGGTAGTCTCATCGTAGTACAAAGATGCGGAGGCAGTTTGAAATGTTCACTGAGGCTGGAAGGACGATGGACTCTCAGTAGAATGCGCCAGCAGTTGGACCCTTACCTTACCCTTACCACCTCAGCTTCCTCCCATGTTTAACCAGGCAGTTTGATTGGCTTAGGCTTCTAGCTGCCAAAACAATCAGCGGTTTTCGGTGACTTTCCGAATCCCGTTTTTTCTCCACCATGCAGTGAGATTCAATTCGAGTATAGGAGAGAATACTGCACGTAGGTGCCACTACTAAACTTGATAAATGGAAGCATGCTAGATCAAGAATTGGAGAAATTGATATCGGTCAAATTGGTCTACAGGTCAAATGTCTTCGCCACTTCGTGGGAAAGGCAGAAAGATGGAGAGAGAGACAGAGAGAGAGCTGCGCAGCGACAAGAAAAGCGAAGATTTCGTTATCCTAATTGCAGAACGTCGACTCCGATTGTTTCTTTGACGCGCCCTCGGATCATGGCGCCGTAATTTGACTGGTGCATTGTTATACTTCAATCGTCAAGGTCGTAGACGCTGGCGGATCCTGCCCAGTCTTTCTCCACAGATACAAGCATAACCCCAACGCCTAGCCATGGCATCTGTTGATTGAATCCTCGTTCAACAGTACGGAAAACCTTTCACAAGACATCCCTCCTTGCCCCCATCCACCACACCACGCCACCCTTCCTCTATGCTCAGCGAACCCTAACAGCCCTTCGCCGTCACAGTCGTCCACCTGCAAGTTCTCCGGTCAGTAGTTGCCTTCCCAAGATCACAAATTCCGTCAAGAAACATATTCCGCTCTCGCAATATCAAATCAGGATCCGGAGAAATCGCTCACCTCACATTCCCACACCCGTAACAAGCCGTGACCGTTGTCGTCTCAGCACTGGCCGGACACCCGCACGGCACCGTTGTCGTTTCCAGCATCACGAACTGAGGACACGCTTGCAGGTTCTTGAAGCACTCGTCCGGGCGGACCGTCGATGTAATTGTGGGACAGGTGTTTGCGTTTGTGGCGGTCGGGTTGGAGAATGTGATGGTGGAGAGGCTGTTGGGAGGGGGAGGGTGGATTCTGTCGAGCGGCATGTGGGTGAGGGAGAGGGGAAGGAGACTGTGGGAGCGTTAGTGTGATGGGTTGGTTGGGTTTGGTGAGCGTGTGGGATAAGTAACCCGGGCGGGAGAGGGAGGAAAGAATAGCGGTGGAAGATATGTGGTGGGTTTGGAGGCCGAGTCATAGCTTCTCCTCCCTTTCCGTGATAGATGGAAATGACCTTTTGAAGACGTGACTGGAGGAAAAGGTTTCGAAAGCGCTCACCTTAGGACTCCAGCAGCTTCTCCTCCCTTTCCGTGATAGATGGAAATGACCTTTTGAAGACGTGACTGGAGGAAAAGGTTTCGAAAGCGCTCACCTTAGGACTCCAGCGAGTGCGATCTTGAAGGCGAACATTATGGCAAGTATTCTCTTGAGAAGAGAAAGTGCAGTTGAAAAGATAGACCGATCAGCTTGTAGGCAGTGAGATCTTGATAAACTGGCTGACAGGAGAAAGACGCCGGAAGGATGTATTTTGAAGGAAACTCTCTTCGGAAATAGTAAATGCGGAATCAAGCCTCCTTGATGTCGAATCTTTTGCATAATCAAAAGGGCGGTGTGTCTTAGACCGTCAATGCTCGCTGGGCCACACTTTGTCTCACATCCGTCATTTATCACATATCTCAAGTTCATTCCGAGAGCATTTCCAATTTCCAATTTCCGCTGTCAGCATGGAATATCCTGGGCAGGTGGAGGGTATTTTGGGAACTGAAGATCACGATGCAAGGGGTTGTTTAAATTGGAACAGGGCATTGTGTTGCTGCAACCGCACTCTGCAGCCGCCCTCTAACCGCTTTCTGGACAGAGTCCACCTTCTGCTTGTATTCAATATTCGCTTCGGCACCTGGATCTCCATCTGCTATCGAGGTCGTTTGGAGTACGACTTCTAACTCAAACATGCCACCAGTGCTTTCCAGATCATTCAGGTACGCTCGAGGATAAGCTACTGCCAGATTGGGACATAAGATGTTGCGGATTTTTTGGAGTAGGATTGAGTCTGTCTCAGCGTAGCACAGCAGTGGTGATGATAGAAAGCGTATAGATTCAGTGGTGGGGCCATCAGCCATTATGTAGCTGATGGAGAACAAAGCACTGCTATCTATGGCTAGCTACATGAAAGGAACAATGATGGAATATGCATGGAAGGATGTAGAAGGAACGCATGCATAGAACATGAAGGAACTAGACACGCTGACAGTCTGTGTAGGGGAAGTTCCAGGCTGGAACAGGTGGAAGAGGGATTGAGGTGGTAGGATTCCCTATAGAAAGGATGTCGCTGGCACTACTTCAGAATTGATCTGGATCAAGTCCTCTCTTACGTAGTTTGCGTCACGCAGTCGAACTGGGAGACTGCTAATAGAAGCGACCTCCCTAAAAAGCGAACCGGCAAGTGAGCAAGTCTTCGACCGAAATTCCACAAACTTTCACTCAAGCTCATGCATGAGCAAGCAGCCTAGAAAGCGAGAATAAAACAAAAGCTGACGAAAAGAAATTGGTGGCTGCTAACTCAATCCAATCGAGTTCAATCAGTGAGCGAATGCGACATCAAATCCTGTCACAGCCTTAACACACTTCTGAGTCATGTCCGCATTCTGAATTTACGTCTGCCTCACCAAAGTCATACCGCAGTACAGCATCCCCACCAACTGACCATGGGGCATTGATATTCCACATACCCGATCCCCTTGGCAGCATACAAAATGCTTGGGCAAACAGGTACACATCCCACATCAATGATTAAAATCAAGTATGCATTCACGTAATTCCACCTAGTGAGATTCAGAATTTGTCGATGATGGGGTCAACAGGCATCTTGTTAACTCTGTATGCCCGTGTCTCGAGCAACTTTTGACTGGAAATTATGCAAAACCAGCCAAAGACATGGTAAATCTGCTTACCTCTCGAGCCAGCTTGGATACTTGACTGGACTGGATCGGCGTTCGGTAAGCCTTTGAGATTGGAATACAGGCTGCCCCATCTTGTTCGCTGGAAGAAGTGCAATTGCTGCGCGGGCGGAGTAGGTCTCTGTTACGACAAGAATTGCATACAATCTTCTGATCGATCTCAACATAGCTCATGACTGTGCTTTTCATGTGACACGCAGAGTTCAAAGAGGACAGCTTGACGTGACAGAAATCGGAGTTCGGAGGTAGTACGTGATGTGGTAGAGTATACCCAAAAAGTCTTCGAATACAGCTTTTCAAATCGACTTGCGTCAGTCATGTTTGATTTCTCTTTAGTTGTGCCATTCATGAAAAACTCGCATCTAGCTAGCCATGTACAGGCGTGGGCCGGTAAGGCAGATGTCTCCTACCCCTTGCAGGGGTCCTGACAACCGTCTGAAACAGGGGCATATCCTGTGACCCACTAAACCCCCGTCCCACGTGGCGAACTAAGCAGACCTACTCGTATACACCGCCTTCCTAGATACATTTGAGCAGATGATCACCTCAGATGGCGGACACGAGCCTACCTCGGCCCTCACCCATGGGAGGATTCTCCAACGTTGTTCGTCGCTCCAACTGATTGATTAGCTAATGTGGGATTGTCTAGGCTAAGCCCATAAGCAGCACGAAATGTTGAAGGCGGGTATCCACTATCCAGCTTGCAGTAAACAGATAAGAGCATCATTGAGCAGATGATATGAAACGTTTCCAAGGTAGGCGTGATGCCACGCTTCTCCGAAGTCCGTATGTTTGTGCCCGACCGATGAATACTGTGGTTTCAGAGTGGCTTGGCGCTAAGCAACTTCCGTTTCGCCCAACCCACTCTTCTTTCCCTTCCCATCTATCTCTTCCCCAAGTAACACATAGATTCAAACCACAAACGAAATCATAATACAACCACAATGAAGCTGACAGACTTTCCAAACGAGATTCTCAAGAATGTCGTCGCCAACATTCCCCTCAACAGCGACCTAGCAAGAGTCACGCTTGTGTCACATCGTTTCAAGAACCTCACCGAACCCCTCCTCTACCGCATCGTTCACCTGGACGCGGAGCCACTCGAGGAATGTCCAGTAGGATTCATACCCACCCTCAAGCGGACAGACCAACTCATCGCAACCCTGAAGGCGCGTCCGGAACTCGGCAGATACACCACCGCCTTCTCCTTGAGAGTCACCCACTTTCCCTGGTACCAGAGCTATCCCCAGATCAGCATCATCCGTCGCATGCCGGGACTGCGCAAGCTTTCATACGACCCACCCGCTATTCATGGCGGTGGTACCCCCACTGAATGCAAGGACCTCACGGCCCAACGGTTCGATTTCAGTCATGTCACGAACCATTATGACGAAGATGGTGGCCGCCTGTGGTTGGAACTTGGCGT